AACAACTGAAAAAGCAATTAATTCAAATCTAAATAACTTCCATGCTCAGAATTATGTTTATGGTCTTTCAGCAGACAAATTTATGGGGACGTCTGGGGACCAGGCCTCTGACACAGAATAAGCATCAATTTCTCCTGGAGACTGGTCGCGGGTTTATTTCTGAAACTTGTGTGGAATGAGGGAGCAAATCTAGAGTGTTTAAGATCTAATAATAATCACACACTTTAACACATTCAAATCATGATATTTCAGGAGGCAGCAACCTTGGCTTTGCTTATAGCTCTAAGCAGGGCTATTCCCAGAGGAGGACTGTCCTTCTGAGGAAAGAAGACATGGAGCTGGTTACAATCCCAGGGAGGATGTCTGCACAGAGAGGTATTTTTCTTTTTTTTTTTTTTCCCTCAATACAATTTACACAGAAGGGGCTTGCTGCCAATGTGATAATTGAGAAACACCTGGTGAAAATGTCTCTCTATTAATTGACAATGGCTTTCTCCTCCCCAGTTCTCATCCCTCAGAAAGAAAAAAAAAAAAAAAAAAAAAAAAAAAAAGGAGGAAAAAAACGAGCAACCAAGAGAGTTTGAGACATATAATCTCCAAGGCCAAAAGGAAAGACATATAATTTTCAAGGCCAAAGGAAATAAGGCAGGAATTTGATGGGTGATTAATGGCCGTGCTGGAGCAGTGGGAGTGGTGTTGATGTCAGAGCCTCCAACAATGATTCCTCTTTGGAAAGAGGAAAAGGCAAGTGGATCCCCAAATAGCCATTTTTTAAAATCAATTTTCTGAAACCTGTGATATTCTTCCTGGGTAAACTTGAAGCTCCAGAAAAGAGGTGGTCCCTCCTGGAAGAAGCAGTGAATGGGTTTTCCTAGTCTCAAATTCCACTGGACTCACCCACCTACCTACAGTCCCAAAGGATTGGCTGCATCCCAGAACCTCCCTGGACCCTTTGTTTTCACAGCAGCTCCTAGGAAATCGCATCACCCAGAGAGCTTCATCACTGACGATCTGAACGCGTTGTGCACAGAGATTTGACCAGTGGGAAGCTGGTCAAATGCATAACTGAAATTCGATGTGTTTTTTCTGTTCTAATTGTGGTAAAAGATGTACTTTTGCAGTCGGTCTGGATCACTCCTGAGAAAGAGAAATAAATCCTGTGTGAATTTCATTTCTCAAAAGAAGGTATGCAGAGTGCTAGGTTTGTGAACTTTCTTCGTATATCGCTCCAATAGCAGCTTTATGTCATATATATAGTTGGTAGTCAAAAATTATTTAGAAGATGAAAGCAATGAATAAAAGATAATTGATTATCTCCTTAAAAATCTGTTGGTTCCTTATATAATTCTGGTT